TTGTGGCAAAAGCTTGCATTAAACCTTTAGTTTGACAACTGAAGAATTCAAAATCATCCTTACAAAACTTCTTCCCTAATTTTAGGACTAAACTAATTACTTGTGTAAAACTAAATTGTAATTCCTGAACTACAAAATCTACTGTTGTGTTTGTTACACCCTTTGCTAAAAGTGAGGAACAAAAGCTACTTAAAATATCCGACATAATTTGAATGCCTAGTTCAACTGAGATATCTTCTACTACTTCGTCTTCATCCAACTTATTATTATTATTCGTCGGAAGAGATTCCAATGCTTCGTGACTAACTACCGCATTAATTACTTCACTAACATTAATTGCGGTCGAGACATCGTGTGATTTTAAATGCCTAAGATAACCACTCCAAGAACTAAGTTGAACGGAACAATTTATGAAGGGGCAAAAGCTTTTCCTAAAATTTGCACTACCTATATTATGAATGTATTTTGTATGAACAATAATATCTTCTACCCGAGTAAACGTATTTCTGCACTCAGAACAATAATACATTTTTACCGAAATTTATATTATTAAAATTACTGGTCAATTGCTTTCCGAAAGGCTTGAAAGTTGTTGGAGGACTTGTTTTGCTTTGCGCGGAAGAGTTGTGTTTTGAATGTCTAATTGGAAGACGTGAATTTGCATAAACTTCCATAATCCATCCAAATTTTGGTCGTATTTTGTCCCGATCACATAATGAGCCTTAAAAAGAGAGTCGATGGCCTCTGTAGAATTACTGGCATTCAGCGGAAGGGCCAACTTGTCACAAATGATGAAAAATGTCGACGGATTTGTTTTATCGTCGCCCAAGTACACCAAAGTGGGTTGACTGATATCCGAATCCCAAGTATCTAAAATTGACTGCAATGGCGTTCCACTCTAAAAGAGTAAGAATATTTACAGGTTATGTTCCTATAAAACAAAAACACTCAAAGCAAATATGTTGTAAATGTGTACTTTAAAATATTTTACAAGTCTAGATTCCGCATCTTCAATTTTGCACCGCGCACCTTTCCCTCGCCCATGCGCTGTCGGGGGGATTAAATAAAGCAGGGCCAACAATGCGCCAGTTGACCGATCCCAATTTCCTGCAAATAAATTGATTTTCCAGCAGATTATACGAAATAAGCAAAATTAACGAAATTATAACCATATTATATTCATACCAGCATTATCGTTTATGAATTTATGAAGAGCCGTCGATTTGCTGATTCTTTTACAGTTTGTTAATATTTGCTCCCTCAATGTTTCCCACGTGTCCAGATATTTGGCCGCATTAGCTGGAAACATCAGCTGGAACTCGAAGTTAATCTATCATAATTTGTGTCAATAAATTAAGCTAAAAAAAATCTAAATACAGCTAATAACTTTGTAGTAATTACCAGAAATCCGCATTCCAAGAATTTTCGATACACCCGGAGGACTGAGTTTTCATTAGTGCCTCGCAAATAATTTCTGTGCTCCAAGGTTTGTATCATGAGACGCCTAACTTCGTCCTCCGGAAGTGAGGAATTTAATTCCGCGATGGCGATATCGTCAGCAGCAATTTGAACATGTCCGTCTTGCTTATTGGAAATGGGTGCTCCATCTCCACTCGCTACGGGTCGCTTCAAAGATTTTAGAGGGTTTTTTTCTTTAACGTTTCGGTGAATCCATCGTAAACGAGTCTGAATTAAGCCGGAACGGTTCACAGTATCATACAAAATATCCTGCAATAAGGGAATAATAATATATACATATATTTAAATTCAAATTTCTAGGGAAGCTATAATTTTGCACATACAATTCCATCAATTGAATCCGGGTATTTCCAACACGGAATAATTTCGATTATTGCCTTGGCAAATCGCAGCTGATCAGAGGTGGATGGTAAATCCCTATATATTGTAAAGTTAATTTGATTAATTTTATAGACAGATATTATCTGCTAATAACAACAAGGAAAACTTACCCCCTTAAATCAATTAACACCGAGACAAAATCATTTATGAGTTTCGTTGCGGCCGCCGAGTCTACCAATCTCTCTGCGTTACAATTTGACACTAATTCCTTCAAGTCTGGTTTTCTCTCAATATAACTTTCTAAAGCCTGAGAATTTGCAACATCATTAAAATTTACTTGATTCCGCATTTTATTTAATTCCATTAGGATACATATAAATACATCTAGTAAGTATGTACCTGTTTAAAATAGTCTTCCCCTTGGGGCGACGCTGGAGTTGCTGGCGATTGAGGCGAAATGGGCGCAGGGCTATTAACTACACAAAAACGCTACATATTTCTTTTGCTTTTCATTGTTATTTATTATATTATCCAGATTATAAAACTCACTGTAATAAATTTGTTGACATTGAGGGGTGTACGATCCATCACTAGCTGCGTCTTCCCCCACGATTTTGAATGTTATTGCTGGGATTATGCCTTGATCCAACAGAATAGGGAATACTTCCTCATCAACTTCAGCGCCATGGTCGTCTTCCAAAATGATGTCGTTGTCAGTCTCGACTTGAAATTTGGTCTTCACTAATAATTACACACATTTTAGATATTTTTGAGTTATTTAATGCACAAATTTAAAACACGCTCTCAATTTAATGGGAATGATACTTACCACTACGCAAGAACTGTTCATAATCCCCAGAAGAAATAATTAATTTCTTTCCCCTGGCTAAATTACAAACTCTGACCAATTTGGTCATTTTTACTTCGCTGACTTTAACGGCCAAGGTAACTACAAAGTAGATGACGAGGAATGATGATGGCTATGGCGTGAATATTCCGTCCATGTGGTAACAGTTTTGGTTCTACCAGTAATATTACAATACCAAATTATGAAAATTGTTTACACCGTTTGGTGTATATTTGTTACTCTTTAGTAAAATTACATCGGCATTGACTGTCAGCACAATATGGCATTGATTCAATTCCTCGCGGAGTGGAGTCATCGCCACTCGGGGAAAACTAATATTACCATTTACCGATATTGTCCATTACCCAAAATTTATAAAAGCTGGTAATGATTTTATTACCGTGGTGGAATTAATGGTTATTACCAAACCCTCGGTAATAATATTTTTTATTAAATTATTACCAGTTTGCTAAGAGTGCATTCTTATTTTTATGCTTAATTGCTTCCTTACTTTTTGCTTAATTTTTAAGGGTCACGGTTTTCAAACCAGTTTTGTAAAGTGATATCCACTAACACGCGAATAATGAAATGAAATAATGTGCGTCGTTGCGTCACAACGTACGCCTCTAGCGTCGTTGCTCACCAAAGTTATTCAATCTTTTAAAAAAACATACTTCACCAAATAGTAACTACCACATCCATTGACAAACTAATTTTGAGGTTGTAATTCCAGTATAGTAATTGTTGAGTGACAGATTTTTGAGTGAAAGGGATATATATAGCCTGTAAATGTCTGTATTTGGCAATAATACTACAAATTAAAAAAAAGTCAAAAATTGTATGTCTTCATTGCATCCTTACAAATATCCTTCAGTTGTACATGTTGATAACGAATCTCCTAGTTAAATTCATTCCCTGGCCTTATGAACCAGGTGAGTTGCCAACTTGAACCTGCGTCATTCCATCGTCATGAAATGGAATTATCACTAATCCCGCCAGATAATTCCTGACAGTAAAGTTGATTGATGCGCCATACTATAATCATTCAAGTATAACTGAATTCGATCAAAAATATATCTCAACTTGTTGGACTACTTGGCATATGTAAAACCACGTCAAAATTTATGACATGACACAACATAAGAATCTATTCAAAATTTAAACACCAATTTCCTACCTACTTACAAATCTTATGTGAAATTACAAAAAATATTTTTGTTTTCAACCTTGCACATATTCATCAGAACTATATACATAACGTATGCAAAATTTCATATACACTTCCAAGGGCTGGTCATCCTGAAAATAAAATTTGAACTAACTTCATCTGTCCATCAATTACAAGAAACTATTTAATTTTTCAGTTTACCTGAAACAAAAATATCATCATTGGTAATGAAGAAATTAAAATTGGTCCCATCAAGATCGGAGTATAACATGAAAAAATTTACATTGTTAGCTAATAAAATAACAATTTGACACTATACCAAAAACTCTTAGCAGAAATTGGGCATGCCGTGGGCGATGTTTTTCTTTACGATGAGCTACAGAATTTTAAATAAATACATTACGATCAAGGGTTAAATTATCCATTTCAAGATATCTCCTTCATTCCGGCGGATGCGAACGTTTAATTCTAACACTAATTACACTTATACTCTATGCTAATTAGTAATCCATAATTACCACAGAGTATTTAATAATTGTTAGGACGGGCTAAATGTATAATCTTATAAGTTAATTTTTATTAATTTTGACAGTTCAACATTTCTCCATAATTACTTTAAGTCATTATTTTTTCCGGAGAAGTCTTAATTTCCCCCAAACACATTTTCACCTAAACATTCCTTTAAAATATTACCATAGAAAAAGCAGTCAGCATTGTCATTTGGAACGAAACGAATAATTACGTCGTGTTTTTTGTGACCTTTCTTATATTGTAATTAAGATATTAACAAGATTTCGATTTAATTACCTAACCCTCAATTAATTGTGTATTGGACTGGATTCGCACTATAAAGTTTTCAAAATAATTGTTAAAATCCGAGGTCCCTCATGCCAGCAAAATTATTTACAAGTTCGTACTGGAATGAACACTGCGTATACTTATCAAATTTTAGATAACTACTTATTTCACTTATATAACTCTGATTAGTTGGGATTTTCCGAATCATAACCACTCCACCTGACCTTTGTCTGCCTCCTTTATCACCACCGGATGCCCAAACCAATCAATGAAGCCATGTCAAAAAGATTATTTTTATCCGACACTTTGATTCTGCTAAATTTGGTCCGTCTGCAAAAATTGCATACAAAAAGCGAAGGAATGAACCCACCATTTCCCATACCTAAACGGCACAAACATCATCTATTTTCTCTCGTACCGTTAAAAATGAATCCCTCACTTTACTTCGCTTTCTTCCTCGTCGTCCTCCCACACTTTTGTCTTACTCAAAATGACAGCCCCGCCATATATTTCAACCAAACTCTGACCCCTGGTGTATTCTCCGACTCAAAATCGAATCCCAACCAAGCCTGCGATCCTGGCGACTACCTCTGTGCCGATTTGTCTGGTTGCTGTGTCCGTGGATCGATCTGTTGTGGGAACTGGTGCTGCATAAATGGCGCCAGCTGTTATGGCGGTACCTGCCGTGTCGTGGAATCCTGCCCTCCAGGATACTTTGACTGCCACAACGACTACTGCTGCCAGACTGGGTCGAAATGCTGTGGGTCGAAATGCTGCATCAATGGCGCCGTATGCACGGGTGGGACCTGCATCAGGAACTCCCCTGGCTCCGCGTCACTCAATTCTGCCATGACGGGTTTGATTCTTGCGATCCTGGTCGCCATATCGGTCCTGAATTCGTGAAGGTGAGAATCCACTAACGTAACTTTCGCTTGGATTCAGACTCATTATTATTTTTTAGTTTGGCAAATACCAGATGAAACGCAAGCAGCATAACATTTTTTATTTGGAATATTTTTATTCTCCGCAACATTTGTATAATAAAAAAAGCTGTCATGATAAAAAATTGCTGTACAGGGTGTTCGAATTTTTATTTTCATTGTCAAAATTTCAATGCTTGTGAAATTTATTATACTTCGATAGCAAAATATGTCCCGTAATTAAAATGTGTTCAGTCCTCTTGAACTTCAAACAGACAAGATATTCGTAATTATTTAGGTTTCTATCACATCCAATAAAATCTACATTCGCAAAAATTCCGTAGAAGAACACATAAGATCATTACAAGTCCCCCTAACGTCCAGGACAATATGTACTGCCCCCACTCATTTCCCAATCATGCTTTAGGAGACGCCAACTGGGCGACATCAAATTGCGTCACTCCATTGTAATAGAGGCGATCCGCCAGATTAATTAAATCCAGGTGCACGTCCGCCACATCTCGGTATTCCACACCACTTAAACAGATAAGATAAATTGTTTCAGTAAAATGAATAATCTGCCAACCTCTAATTTTAGGTATGTCTGCATTTGAACTTCTATCTGTACTCCGAAAAGCATAAATAATATCTAATCAATCACTTTATAGATTTCCCTACGAACTATTCCGAACCTGCAGCACATACATCTAATTTTTTTACATCTTTTTAATTTCTCATTTCTCCCTGATTTACGTTTACGATATAGAAATATAGTTTTTAACCTCTGTAGGTAAATAAACAACAAGAGATATAGAACTTAACTAGATTTCTAACAATCTGTACATTTATTTATTACGAAATATTCCGTTGCAATATTTATATGGGGTCATCCCTCAAGATTATGAAAGTTCCAAATTCTACTCAATCCAGTTTGGTTCCTAAGTAGATATTCTGCAAAATATATAGAAACACCATTTGAGAATCTGTATTTTCAAAATTTTTCGAAATTGAATTTTCAAATTGTAAAGGAAGTAATTTTAAGCATACATGTTTTTAGTTTTTTGAATTCGCGCCAAAATTCAAAAAGTTACAGCGATTTGAAAATTCGAGATTTTGGCTGGAAAAATATTTGAAAATCCTGCCACGCGCTTGAAAACGAGTATTATCGAAAGAGCAAAAATACTGCTCCGCTTATTTTTGAATATGATCAATTAAAATTAGTCTCATCAAGATTGGAGATACGATTGCGATTTTGCATTGTTAGTACGAAATATTACGAATTTCAACACCAATTTCCGAACTACGTACAAATATTAAAAATGTGAAATTACGAAAAACAGGCTCTGGGAAAACTTGTTTTCTCATTATTCTCCTTTTATTTAAAATTTGCACATATGTACATAATACAATCAAAATTTTGTTATTCATCGCCGTTTCCAAGGGTACCGGTCATCCTGAAAATAATATGTAACTTATTTATCCGTCCATCAATTATAGAAGGCCTTAATTTTTTTGTTACCCGTAGCATCGTATCCCACCACTCCTTATCCGACTTCCCGGTCAAATCTTTCAAAAAATTCGCGGTATACGTTCCAGTCTGACAGGCTTTATTCATATCGTAAATCAGCGCCCTCTCTGACACTGAATCCAGATAATCCACCAACCATCCCGTCCCCTGCGGTTCTCTGTTGATGTCTGAAATTTAAAAAAAAATTACCTTTAATTCCAACTACCAAACCTTTAACTTTCTAAAATTCCCACTTTCTTCCAACTTCGGCTTATCCGTCGACGTCCATGGTTCGTAGTGCCATCTCCGCGTCCACTCCGCCATCCCTTCGACGAGCCAGCCCGGACAGTCTCTCGCTTGGTGGAGGATGTGCGTCATTTCGTGAATGATGAACCCCGTGTCTCTCAACCCCGTATTTCTCAACCATTGAGCATTCACCCCGATCTCACCCCCTCCCGCCCATGCCACCCCTTCGTCCTTGGGACTGAACCAGACCCGAATCTTCCTCACCGGTTTGTAGGCCGAGGTGTACATTATATTTTGCACGAATGGGAACCAAAGTTGCATTATCCGTTTCAATTTTTCCCCAAATTCTCGCAAATCTTGGGCTTGAGAAGTGTCCATGTCAATTTCAACTTTTTCTGATAATTAATTTCAAAAAATTAGAAAAGGACCCAAGCTTCGAAAAGGTGACCTCACCTGACAGCTGACCACCAAGCCGGCAATCGCTCACAGAGGTCAACTTGTCATTAAAACCGCCCAAATTAGCAGCCCCGGCGGTTTGAAGGTGATAATAGTCCCCCTTGCACTCTACATCTTCCCAGAGGCGGATACAGTCGCTGGTCCTGACGGAGGACGCCTTGTCGTTGAAGTCAAGGTCCAAGACGTTCCTACACCTCCCCCCGTCTAGCTTGAAGGTCACCATGCGGCCTAAGATAATTCAAATTTTGCACATAAGCCGGGTAAATTTCTCAAAAAGTGAGTATGCCATACCTTCAAAATTCGAATGTTCCCAAAGATTAACTTCTGCAGGGAGATATAAAAATCTTAATTAATTAGCCAAAGACCCCTCATAACTTTTTTATTTCATTAATTTTGCATACCTTGCGACTTCACAGTGCTCGCAAATACTGCGAACAACACGTAAATCGAAACCACCATCTCGAATTTCGTGATTGTAAACGAACCCATCCAAATATTTCCAGAATGCAGGCCAAGATTTTGGCTACATGTGCAAAATTAAAAGACTAATAGCCTCGCATTTATATTAAAACTTTAAAACACCTCACCGCAAATTATCTTTTCTCAGAATATATAAAACTAATCAAAATTACCAGGTTTAGAATAAATAATTGCCGTGTTTTATGGATTTTTTCAAAGAAATTGCGTCACGTAAATTTAAGCCGTGTTTGTTCAGCTGCATGAGACGTTATGGGTTAACTATTTGCACAAATAAATTAATAAATTATTTAATAATTATTAATATAATGTACTCAATTAATTAATGGATGACAATAAAACGTAATTCACAGTAAACAAAATTACTAATTAATTAAAAGTATTTCTCATCAATTTAAAACCATTCCTCCAAACAATGCTTAATTACATGTGTTCAGAATTTATCCTGCCTTCAATTCCATATCGCTTAATTTTAAAATAGGTCAAGTGCAAAATATGCTTAATTTTAAAACAAGCAGCCATTTTACATTGTATTTGAGTGCCCTTGACTTGTTTTAAAATTAAGCCGACGATATATCACGAACAAAGTTTACGGGGTATTGAATCCATGAAAGTAGTCCATGAAATCCATGAAATCCATGAAATCCTAATTGACAAATCAATTAGCCTATCAACATATTCATGACTAGGTCATTCTAGGTGCCCTTCTATTTCTATTCCAAAGTTTGTCCAATTCCCATATGACTACAGATCTGCACTCTTATTTCCGTGTAAAAAATTTTATTTCGGAAAGTGTGCTATTTATGAGGCACTCAAGATCTTAAGTTGTCCCTTCATTCTATGAACTAAATGCATTTTATGAAAAATAAATTGTTTTGGAAACCATTAAAAATGTGAAATTTCTAATTATAAGAAAATTAATTTTATTATTAATTGAATTTCATTTTTCTAAAAGATTTCAAAACTACAAAAATCTACAACTTTTCCAATAATTTAAATCCTCCGACCATTATCACTAGCGGAAATAAAGTCTTCTGGATTTCAAACAGTATCGACTCAAGAGAACTTCCCGCCCCAAATCAGGCCATGTCTTCACCAAGCGAAGCTGAAACCTTCTCCCGTCGTATGGTTATCACTCACGAAAACAAGGAATAACCGCTCCCATGCATACCGTCCTTGAGAGTGTCTTATATCATTGCAAATCCTGATAATTAGCAAATTTTTGAGTAAGTACTGTGTAAAATACGCATGCACAACATACCTGTAACTGTATCTTAAATGTCCATATCTGATAATCGAATCTGGTAAAATCATGTATACCGCTAAACTGTCCCCACAACCGTAGCTTTTCTCCATTTTCCCCGCATAGTGGAATCCAGTGGTATTAAGAGTTTGCAGAGGATTTATCACAAACGTTGCTACCTCATTGTTCTTGTAGTGCTCGTCACCCCCAGGGTAATCGATATTCCCACTTCTTGACTTGTAGTGAAAATGGGAGAAAGTTCTGTTCGAATATTTCAACTCGTTTCCAAAGCCGCCAAATTCCAAAAGAAAATTATTCTCTCCATTACTCTTGGTTGCATTGAATTCCAACGTCACAAATAGGATTGGCCCGTCGAAAACGTATCTCTGATCAAGTCTTGGATCTCTGGAAGGCACAGGAAAACTATTACCGCCAGATATTTATTTTATATAACTCTGGAATTCTTTTCACCCCGTGGTGGTGGTACGAGCCGTAATGGATTGCAACCAACTCGGTAGCAATCTATCACCAGGTGGAGCCACCAACGTCATCAAAACGTGACAACGTATATTTCCAAAGGCGGTACTGCTAAATTTCAAATTAATACCAGGTATTTACATCAGTTGCCTTGCACCCTTGACATCGGCGTTTGTCCCATTTCTCTCGTTAATTCGTACCAGGGTCATCACAGGGGTCACAGTTACCTTCGCCGTGACTGGCAAGTCCCTGCTGACTAATTCGATCCATACGAATTCAAAAGTGTTTGCCCTAATGGTCCAAGTATACGATGTCGCATAGTCGTAGGAATAATTCGAAATAAAATATATTCTCCCTGACTCAGCAATAATTACATCCCCATTTGTCGAATTAATGGAAAATCTTCCTAAATTCTGCTCCGGTTTGGCGCTCATCATTTCAATTTCATTCTCCCACTGACAAGGAGCAGTTGGCCACAAATACGTATGAAATAGCAGTGCAGAGAACATCGTCGTCAATGTGAGTAGGGTGAACAGCAAGCACAGTGTAAAAGGATAAATTTTATTCGCTCCTAGATTTGAAAAAGTGGAAAAATTTTATAAAATTGTACTAATGCAAGAAGAAGTTCGAAAACTCTTATCTTAACCTGCAACTTTCGAGCATTTTGTCACCCCCGCTGCCGTCATGTTCTTGTCAAAGTCTAAAATTGACTTCACATCCAACTTCACTTGCTTAACTACCGGCCGTAAATATTTGTCTTGATGACACATATTTTTGATAAGTGTTAAAACTTTGTCACAAGGAAATCCAACCGGGTCAATCTGACATGAAAAGGGATACCCTGTCGTGCTTCCCGGGACATCCTTCGGAAACAAATTTGAAAACGTTTTCCCTAATGCGTACACATCCGCCATTTTTGAATTCTCATTCTCCGGACTTCTGTACTCGAGACAGCCCACCATCTCACTTTGTAGGTCGTCCTGCCCATACTTTCTGGCCAGACCGAGATCCCCAATCTTCCACTCGACCAACCCATTGACATCTCTCCTCCCCAGGATGTTATCAGGTTTCAGGTCTCGATGTATGATCGACCTATCGTGCAGATAACTCAGACCACTTAGCGCGTTTAGCATAATCCCTGGGATGAACCCTTGGCGGGATTGCATATTTGAATTTTCCGCCAACCACTTCTTTAGCGAGAAATCACACAATTCCATCACAGTATAAAGAAACTCGCTGTCTGCACGGGTCGAACTAAATTGCGGAGATTCTGGCCGAGAACTCTCCCAACCTAAGCCATTCAACCAAAAAGAATAATACCGGACGACATTTGTGTGGTTAATCTCCTGCAAAAGGATCACTTCTCGCAACATCTTGACTGGGTCCCACTCGAACTGTTGTAGCGTCTTGTAGACAAAGATTTGCTTTACGGCGTAGTGAAACTCAATATTTCCGAGAAGGGTTTGCCTTGCTTTGTACACTCTGCCGAAACTGCCAGTGCCGATTAGATGGAGGCATTCCAAGTCCAGGGTGGCATTCCTTTTCCAAGGGCTATTAATTAATGTCGACATTTTGCCTCGTACTCGCAGAATAGTTACAATATCACTGTAGAGTTACGCATTTATTAATCATGACGTGAAGTCTGCCCAGCATTAAACTCGACTTATAAATTATGCATTATATACTTAATTTGCAATAAAGTCTTACATTTCCTCAACAAAAACTGCAAAATGTCACTACAATTTCCTCATTTACAAATATTAAAGCGATTTAACGAAGGTCGCATACCCTACCAAGGAAAACAAATTAATCTTCAGAGTTTCAAGACAGGAAGGATTATGCTGAGTACGACAATTGTGACATTTTCTAGTGTGGTTAACTGACTCTACATACATGCTATAATTTTTAGAGTATTTATTTATTGGATATGTTGGGCATAAAAGATAGAAACGATGGCCATCTCATAACTACTTCGACTCAATAAACCGAATATGCGTCTGAACCTAAAATTCCAGAGGAAGTTCGCGGTTGAAACTGCTATCTGAATTTCCAAATAAATCATGGGAAATATTTTATTTATTTAATTACTGATTTTCCTTATACTCAATTTCATCCTTATTTACAAGACAAAATGCAAATAAAAAATTACATCAAATTGTTAGAGTATTTTATAAAATTTAGTTATCAAGCTACAAACTAACACGACAAAATCTAAACTATTTACAGAGCATGAACGATTCGTATTTGCTAGAGTTCATAAATTTAATTACATTATCTATATTGACGATGAATATCTTTAGTTGGTTCGATATGAGAGCCAGATAGTTTTACTACAAGTCGACACCTTCAGTTCCAAAATGTCATCACTCGTTCGACCATGGCACGGTCATCTTTGGACCACTCGTCTCGAATAACTTTCCAGAGCCCGAAAAAAAAATTTTTGTGCTGTTTAAATAATTTTTTGAGGTATCCGAACCCGAAAAAGTCCATTTTTGAAGCATCAGGAGACTTGACCATTATCTGGCTCTTCTCTATGATGGTTATTCCAAATTTTTGTTTGACCTCTTTGGCGTAGGCGACTACCTTCCGAGCGGTGTGAGAAGTTGCTGCGTCATCATGAGTGACAACCTTCTTAAGCTCACCAGGATGAAGATTTCGAAGATCAACTTCAATTAATGGTTCTAAAACGTTGCTAGTATAATAGTCAACATTGACCTTCCATATTTTTGGCACTCGGAAGAGTGGGGGGGTTCCACGGCCCGAAACAACTCCGACCACAATGAACAATTTATAAAAGTGGTCGTGCCGAACTACCCACTCTTTCAGCGTACATTTCTCACGGGGGACGTAGCATATTGGCCTATCCCCATTGGTATTTTGTAGCCCTAACATCCCTTCATCTAAAAACACTACCAACTCCCACTTGCGACCAGCCAAATATTTTTCATAAAATGATCTGCACGCAGCTTTGCGAATTTGCTTGTGGCGGAGGAGAAGCCGATGAAGACGATATTTCTTTCTCTTGAAGAGGTCCAATTGATTCAAAATTCGACGTACTGTATCCTGTGAGGCATGGACCCTTCTGGCCATATTACATTGAGAGTAGGGATTCTTTCTGGAGGCCACAATTTTGACCTATCTCATCATGGCTTTGGTGACCCCCAGTTTACGAAATTTAATAATTGGTGAAGTAAGTCCCTGTGCTTGGTTTTTTCGTAAAATTCCAACAGTATTATTAATATCGGACACCGGCCTCTGAGATATGACATGTCCGACAACTTTTAATCGATGCACTATGACCTTAGAGGTCAATCTTTCCCCCGGAAAGTGCTTTAACCATACCCACCACTTCGGGAGGGGTCTTCTTAGGCATTATTAGGTTTATACAAAAACAAAAAATATATTTGAAAGGATAAAGGTTTACTTATCATTGACAATTTTTTTTGAAAATTTCCCACCAAAAATACGCGAGATATAAATTCATAAACTCCGGCAAATACGAATCGTTCACCCTGTATAAGCTGTACTAGATAAGGAGAAATGTTGTTTACGGACATTATGGATGTATAAAATTGAAAACTTTATTGTTTTCTAACTGCTGTCAAGCTTATCTAACTACATATTTAATTGAGATTTTTTAGTTGCCATGGAAACTAATTTTAACAAAAAATTGTTGCTATAGGCAATTACCAAACAATCAGGAAAAACGAAAAAATTAGAAAAATTAATGATCCGGATTAGAGTATTTTCAATTTTATACACATTTACTGCCTCTGCCGTCATAGCAACACAATTTTATGAGAATTATTCAAAAAAACAATGGATTCTTAATAATTTCTGCCATGGGGATGGTGTAGCTATGACAAAGCCCAATTTCCCTATATTAATGGTCAAGTAAGTTGCATCAATTTACCCCCATGTTTCCCTTATCTAATAATAAATAATAATTGTACTAGATAATTTGTTTATTTAATTATTAATACTAAGGACACGAATCGAATTTCCGTGTGCCAGACCTCAATTTGAGAAATTCCACTTTACATGCAATCTCATGTAAATAGTTTTTTAAATATTTAAATCTTGTAGTGAAAATGATGTCCAGAAAACCTACTACAGCAGCGGCTATTTCACTAGATATCGCGAGTGTACATTCGTTTGCAATGAGGTCCACATGGGTAATGATTTTATTGAGGCCAATTGCAACGGTCCACTAGAGACTTTTAATACTGGGTGGTGGCAATGCTGCTTTCTTGCTTAAAAATTCGTTAAGGGAGAACAAATTATTTTGTTTGTTTGTTTGTATGTTTATTAATTCGTAAAGTTTGCTATATGCATGGCTTATTATATTTGATAAGAGAAGGGAAAAGAGAAATTACATTGCGTTTAAGAATTTGGTAGAATAAATTCACGTAGAAATATATATAGAAAAGTGAAGCATTCAGCAGATTTGTTAATAGATACGATTTTAAACAGTTATTGTCGAATACATAGTTTGTTAAAGTATCAGTAAGTACAGAGCATGGTCCAATCAGTTGGATAAAATTGGACGACGACATAATTTCATTGAAGTCAGGTTTAAGTTGATTTAAGTTAAAATCACAAATTAAGTAAGTCTCACTATCTTTTGTGCTTTCTTTACAGTGTTCAAGTTCTTTGAGAAAGAGATTTTTGGTTGTAGAAACACGGTAGATAAGGAAGATGGTGATCCTTGGTTAAAAGGGTTTTTGAATTGTAAATTTTAAGGAATCAACTGGAGAAGGGGGATTGTAATATTTGAATATCATAATCTTCCTTAACATAGGCTATCACGCCTCCTCCTCGTTCTTTGTGGGTTTTGATTCCAGGTCGATCTGCTCGGAGAACATGATAATTTGGGATCTGGATTTCGTCGTCTGATATTTCATCAGTTAGCCAAGATTCGGAAACACAGAAGACATCAAAATTGAGGCTTTGACTAAGTGACGTAATGTCGTCTTTCTTTGATTTGGAGAGAAGGTCGCGAATGTTAATGTGTCCGATTTTGATACCTCTTAGCAGGCTTAGTTGATTATGTGGGGGATGGATGGTAGGAGTAGTTATTGTTGTATTTAGGGAGCATGTCATGCAAACCCAATCAATTGAGTTGGATCTGTACTTTGGATGGAGTTTTCGAAGACAAGGCCGATGATATCTGCCATCACATTTTGAGCATTTAACTTTATTCTTAAGATCTTGTTTTATGCATATTATGCAAGAAGTTGTGGTCGTAGAGTCGCAGTCATGACATGTCCATGTGGAGTTGGTTATCTGGAGATGACAATCCCGATAAGAAGGCAGAGGTTCGACGCAGGTTCGATGATACGATAAGTTGCATTTCTTGCAAATAATTGAGAGTTGATTCTTTCGTCCAGGGCGCAGACATTTTGCACATGGTCCTGGATTTATTGCGTTGATTCCAGAGAGGAGGAGATAGATAAGTAACATATGTACGTCGACTTTTGTTGTAATAATTATTTTTGCTTAAGGTTGTCGATTTCGAATTAGGGACAATGCTTGTATGGGAGTGGTAGGAGGATAGTCTACTATGTATTAGAGTCGTCATATGAATTGGATTTTCAATTCTCACATTGTTATTATTATAACACTCGCTATATATATCCTCGCGATTATAGTAGTTATAAGGGATGGTGGGACTGTTTCCCTCTTGCTCAGCTGTACGGAAAAAATATTTTTCTAGCAAAACTGTCAATGTTGCTTGAAAACTAATAGTTTGCGAATTGTACTCATTCCAATTAGCTTGTCGAATAGATATGTTTCAGCTTCAAATTGGTATAAAAATTGATTTGTAAAATTGTATAGGTCAGTCCAAAAGATATTAAAAAGCCAGAGACAAAATTGGCCATGTTTGTTCCTCTCTCCCTACAGGACTACTAAAATTCTATAAATTTTACGTTTAAAGTGTTTTCCCTGAATAAAGTTTGCATTGGCTACAAAGAATTATTGGATTTGATATAGCAATTCGGTGTCATTTAAACCTAGTTTTCTCATTCTTGCATAGCTCAATTTGTGCATCACCGTCAATACAGGGTGGTTAGCGTACTACTTATAAGGGAGTATTTCAAAGAACCATAATAAAATATATTACTTTTGATATTTTTAATTTTTCTATAGACCTGTGCGGAATATTCTCAATTTTAGTATTTTACTTACATGGACAGCATGCATTAGTAAGGGAAATACTAATTTTGCCTGCCAGATTTCACAAGGCGTTTTGCAATTTTGCCAAAATATACCAATCCCTGCCACAACCGCTGGCCCAGTCGTTTTCCGAAAGATATGATAATCTTCCCATTCTCCACTAGGAATCCCATTACCGCCAGGCCCACCAGAGTACCACATATTACAAAGACTGGCCTAATAAGTTCTTCTGAGACGGGTAAAGCCTCATGAAAAGTCACTGGCTCCTTCAGGTCCCCAAAGGAGGTTTGCATCGCCTCAAAGTATTTCTGTTTACCGTACTCAGACTTGAATTTTTTAAAACTTCGCCAACTCTTTTCACCTGAAGCCAAACTTTCCACAAGCCAGTCTCACT